CGTTAAAATACTGATGTGTGTATATCATTGGAAAGCTTTTCTTCAAGCGAGCCCGAATCTAGCGTTTATAATGAAGTCAGACGTATACTTAAGAAGTTATAATGGTTTAGAGTCTAGGAAACATAACCTTTTTGACGTCATCGGTAACGTGACTTTGATGAATTTTTGAAAATGTTGTAAGGGCTTAACTAATTCGTTATACCATATTGTTCCATAATCAGCCGAGAAAACAAAGGTTAGGCAATGCGGTCGATGGTTCAGAGGAATGCCCTGCCTAGTTATCAACGTGTGACCATGACTCCTTCACGCTTCGGTGGAAGATATACCGATAAATTCATGGCGAACGAGAGCCGCACATTGTGACGTCAGAATGTCACCAAACTGATTCGGCTCTTGTCGTTTTTTTCTCGAAAAGGTGCAACTTTCAAGCCTTATAACTTCTAAACTAATTGAAATTTTGCAAAAACGACAACTTTGCCATAATACACGCACCAGATGCTAACTTTTTAGTCAATAAAAAAAATTTTTTTGGCTGGAGAGGCCCTTTAAAGAACACTTTCCAGATAAGAAGGCACAGCGAACAAGTTGTTTAGGTACATATGCAAACGATTCTAGGCATATTATGTTTCAAAATCGGCGCAGATAACTATCCGTTTCAAAATACCTATGATATAAATAACGCGTTGCTATTTATATCCAAGACTAGGTTGTGATCCATCATGGCGGCAATAAGTTAGTCACGTGACAGGTGGAACTAATCTATACTTCACATATTACACAACTTTATTCACCAATAACAACCTCTTGACTTTAATAACTTTGAAAGACGTAACAATGTAACCTTCAAGCTATCCCCATAAGATTCTCCAAATGCCCACTTGGGAGAACTCGCGGCGGGCCCAGTCAGTTGCTCAAACGTATAACATGAGAGTTCTGAAAAACTCTGAGAAAGCGCGACCTGAAATCTAGAATTCTTGGACATAGAACCTTGAAAATAAGGTTGCTTTTTTACTCAGTCAGAGAGACCACAAAATGGGTAGGAATTTACTGATATGATGTTACAGATAATTTATTTTGGTTAAATGGCTATTAAAATACCACAAATTTTACCGAAGCAGCTAGTCGTCTTGTCTATTGTTTTAATCCTAGATAAGAAACTTAAGTCTTTGCTAGTTTGTACTCATTGCAGGGTATCATTTGGAATTTGATACAATTTTTTCATTTCTTCATGAAAAACATTGAACACGATGTTGTGAAGTGAGCAATGTGTTGCATTTATAATTTTACAACTGTCTTATTTTCTTAATTTACATCAAGAACCATAAGGGATCGTTGTTAAAATTAAATTTGGTCAATTAACGTACATTCTACGCAACCCAGAGTCAAAGAGCAGGATCCAGTTTCTACTAATCCTGGACAGAGGATCGTTCTCAACACACATAAAGGATGTTCTTACAAAAGCAAACAAAGCTATTGTGATGATCATCTGTTTTAAGTACCTGGCTCGTGCCTCCCAAGGTCAAATTTACAAGCATGTCCAACTTCATTTTGACGACATAGGTGTTATTTATCATGTATCACCTTCTAGTATATACTTTACTCTTACCGATACTCATAACTACCTTATGAATCGCCTAGAATCGATGCAATATTCGGCTGTTTTAGCTACAACTAGAATGTGGAAGGGCACATCACGTGAAAAGATTTATGTGAACTAGGCTGGGAATCGCTTTCTGACAGGGGGTGGTACCGAAGACTGGTCCTTTTTTCAAAATAGCTAATGGTCTTGCCCTATCTCTTGCCTAAACAAAAGACTGACGTTTTAAAAAATATCTTATTCTCTAATAATCTTGGCGATAAGGTACGTGTATCACCCTCTTTGTCACTTTTTAAATCCAAGCTATCAGGCTTAAGACCCAAGAAGGGGATCTTTGGCATTCACGATCCTGATGGGTTAAGATATCTTACCCACCTAACAGTTGGTCTTCGAGGTGGTCTTTGAGTAATTTGAAAAAACATGAATTTAGGCATAATTCTAATGATACTACCGACCCGATGTGCCTGAGCAGAAAAAAGCGCGCCAAAACGAACACTGTTTTTCTGTGAGGAGATCCCAAATCCCAATTATCTTTGTCAATTCTCTTTCCAAATTCCCAGTTATCTTCATTTATGCCAAAATGAGTCTGTATCAGAAATATCCTGTTGTTTGGACAGTCAGGACGCGGTTTTGCAGCTTTCAAAATTTACCTTTTAAGTTTCCAGTACATTTCACTGGAAATTGCTGCTGCAGTGAAATCTCCTCTCCGCGCTAAATTGAAGCAGGCGCATCCTTTGACGAAAGAGAATCAGATGAAGAGGTTTCTGAGACCAAGCGTGAAAAGGCAATCGAAAAGATAAAGATGTTTTTGGAAAAACGTTGGGAAGGTTCAGAATAAATCGAATAGAATTGAACCCCGGCTTTTGGGTCGAGTAAGATTACGACAGTGCTTTGACGATGTCATATGGTAAATGGTAAATCCATATCATCTTAAGAATAATTATGAAATAATTAGAGAACAGGTATATCATTACTTTTATAGTAACGGAACAATTATTCACAAGGGATTTAAATAGAAGCACCAAGGTTTTGTGAAAGTGGAGTTACAAGTGAAGTTAGAAGAAGATTAGCCTGAGATCAGGCTCTCGGGGCGGAGGAAATAACTTTTTCTTTTTTTTCTATTTTTCCATCCGAGCCTGATCTCAGGCTAAGAAGAAGATAGAATCTGTATGAAAACGATATGGTCTTTCTTGAGAAATTCCGTACACTTCTGAAACCTCTATCGAATCAGTAAGAGTAAAGCAATTAATGCAACGCATACTGTGGAATTACCTTTGTGGGTAACTTGTCATCGCCAAAGCATCGTCGCAATCTTTCTCGACGCAAAAGCATTCTTCAAACAAGCCATCAGATTATCTTTTTCAGACCATTTCATGAACATTGTTTTCCTCTTTGATTTCAATAAAGTCTAGATCCCACAGCGTATAAATTTTATCGTGTAAATCATTGTCCTGTCCAACAAGTAATGTAGAAGTATCTTCTGGCACAAAATTTATATCAAATTCATGAGAACTCAAACTTGTGCCCTTCAATGGACCCGAAAGTACCCAGCCCAATGCTGCTTTGGCTCTATAATGTTCGCCAGGCCCCTCGTATGATTAACCCAGTAAGTAAAAAAGAGTGCAACTTATCTGCATAAAAATCCGAGTATGACTTTTTAAAGGATTTCTTACTACTTCCCTTCCGAAACCATGTGCTACGATGCAATTCGTTTCGATTTCCAGTGTGTTTCCGATCTTCTTTTCACTGATTTCGACGCTAATTACGGCGCTCTTGATTTGTTTCGGTTAAGAGTTTTTTTGAAGATGTTCCTCTACTTTTCTTGATCTGTCTCTATTCTCGTGCATCCCTCAGCCTTCAATTCCTTCAATAGCTAAGTTCGATTATATAGTCCTTGATTCTATATGTGTGTGTCTCAGTGGAGACACACTCTATAAGTGTATCTCCTTCCTTCTGCTGAGTTATCTGCTCTTAACGCTTGGTGCCCTTCACGGTTGTGAAGATTTGTTGCTCTCCTGAGCTCCAAAACAGGCTGGAAAGTGAGGGGGCCAAGGGACAATTTATCACTCATAAAAAACAATTTTAAAAAAGCTCTATTGTTTTGCAAAAAAAGTAGAGGGGCCATGGCCTCACTTGCCTACGCCAGAGAGTGGTTGTCTATAACCATTTTGCTGAAGCTGACAACTGCTATAAGACATACTGACCTTAGCCTATGACCCATGCACGTTCTTATCACTTGTATATATTGTTACCTATAACGAAGCTGACCTGTGATCTTGAACATATCACGTGCTGCTCTACGCTTTGCTTATTGCGCATGAGGGGATTTCTACAATAACTAAACTTTACAACAAACCCCCCTGGTAGATTAGTCCCTACAAGTCAAGCAATAAATATGTTTTGAGAATTGTTTCACTAGCAGCTACCCTAATGGCTCGCTTCCCTGTAGGGTGGTGTCCCTGGGATTTACCCTGTAGCTCATTCGTCCTACTCTCCTAACTGCGCTAAAAATGGGTACAGTTTCTGAAAAGGTCTATTCAACATTGTTTCATACTCACCTCTTCCGCTTCTGCGTCCTTTTGCCCCATCGAACATGCCCAACTCATCTTAACCATGTTGGACTGGACCTCCCTTTCTTCCTCCTAAGCTTTACTTGGCAAAGATGATGATATAGAAGTGCAGTAGTTGTAAGAAGTGCAACAGATGTCATCACTTATGTCGAGAAAAGCTTAGAAGGAACAAATTATGATGGGAAGGTTCAACAGCATGTCAAACAAAGCAAAGTCTTTTGTCTGGACAAAGGACGAAACGGCCCTTTTATTTAAAATAACATTGGATTACAATACTGCAAATCTCTTAGAGGGAAAGAATCGGGAGGATGTACATGCTTCCTTTCCTATTTGAGCTCCGCACCTCACGGTTTGAAACTGTTCCAACCGTAACCACGAGTGCGGTTCCGAACTTTCATAAGTGGACCTATTCGGATACGGTTATCAGTCCCTATTTGGAACCATAGCTACCTGTCGGTCCCGTGAAAATGTAAGGTATAGCCGTGCAAAAACTAAACGTTTCTAGGTGGAAGCAGAACCGTGGACAAGCGGCCTAAAAACCGACCAAACGCAAATAAACAGTATGAATACCGGAAAGGGGAAACGGATCACTTTGAAAATGAAATCACAATGCACGCCACGGATGTTTTTTAAGCAGAGCAACGTGAACAGCAATCCTTTTTTTAAAATTTTATAAATCTGATACGAAACAGTCTGAGCAGGAAGCATGTTCAAAAAACAGATAAAAATAGAACGTTTACGGAGCGGTGTGGACGTAGCTTTAATTTTGCTTGGAACTCAGTAGAAAGGGAGCGCACCCGTAAATTCAGATAAGAAAGCATAAAAAAAGCCGGTCTCAATGGAGGGTCTCAATCATTTACATACATACACCCAAAATAAAAAGTGGATTTAATAGAAAGGCAAACAAAATCTTCCTGAATTGTCCCTAGTTGTGGAAAAAGGGGGAGTATGAAGTCCATGTAACCCTAACGTCTTTCTGGAATCATCAAGCTAGAAATGCATTAGATCAATTTCGTGTCTTGAACTTGGCCTGGCAAAGACTTCCACTGAGCTACTTTCACTCAAAGATCCTGTTTTTCTCCTCTTTTATTTGTTGATAAATGAAACTAAATGAAAAACAAGGGAAATAATTTTTGTAGTGGGTATACGAAGTTACACATTGGAAACTGAATTACAAAATAAGAGACCTTAGAGCACAAAAGGAAATGAGGCTGAGAAAACTTAAAGCTCTGTTCCCTGGAGCTGATCTACTTTGGAACGGATCATCAACATAGATTGGGCCAGTGCAATTGGGACAGCGACCTTGAAAACTACATGTGTTCCCTTTTGTACATGTCAGAGAGCAGCTCCCTTTTCCACAAATGACACCAGCATTTGAAGTAGCTTTGCCACATTTGACTTTGCAGAAGCCTTCGTCGCAATTTATTTCGGCATAGAATGATTTCACATTGATTTCACAACCACCTCCAAAGCATCTGGGGTAGCATTGACTTTGTATACCTTTTCCCTCACAGGTCATCTTACAGTTCTTTTTCTGACACCTGAGATGGCACGCATTAGCCAAGCAGCTCATATCAGGGCAGTCTTCTTTGCATTTTTGCATGCATTGCGACTAAAAATCAACAAGAGGTGTATGTATTACCAACTAAGATTTAAACTTTGAACATATTCAAAATTCCTTTTAAAAAAAGCTTTCAAGAGGCTTCTAATTCATGATGCCTTAGAGACTGATCAAGACAAGTACAAGTAACTCATCAGCAATAGCTATCTTATCAGCTATGTTTTTAGCTCCTCGGTTGAGAACATAGTATCACTAATCAATTCATTAGCACAGGGGTGTCCAAAATACGGCCCACAGGCTGATGTGGCCCACGAGGGCATATTCTGTGGCCCATGCAAAGTCAATAAATTTAGGAATACTTTCTTATTATCAGGCATATAGTCTCAGTATTAGGCATACTTTCTAAATATTAGACATATAGTCTCAGTATTAAGGCCCTATAACACTATCACATTCAGGTAAAATTTGCTTCACATTTTTTCTGTGATCGCGGAAAACGAGAGAATGTGATAGTGTAAGTCACCGCTTCAAGTTGCTCGTATTTGCTTGTTGAGTGGAAAAACTTTTGATCGCTGTTAAAAAAGATTTCCATCATCTTGAAATTTTTCAAAGGAGCCGAAAATTAACATAAATATTGCTCAAGTGACGAACATTTTGGCCGACAAAAAATGGTAGTTAAAGAATGAGTGAATCGGAATTGGCAAGATTTAAGCAGTGGATCGCAGTCCAGGGGATCTTTTAAGAAATTTTTACTGGTGGGGAATTTACGCAAAAGGGCACTTTCCTTAATGTAACGCAACTGACGGTAAAAACAAAAGTAAAGGGACAAGTATGCATAGTTGGTAAGGTTTTCACTGTCTTGCACATAACTCCTTACACCCATGCAGCGTATAGTTAGAAAAACACTAGATAAAACAATTTGAATATAGTACTCAAGATCATGATGCTTCCTGCATTTAGTGTCATAAGAATAAACTTTTTGGTACAAATATTTTGCTACAAAAGTCTTAAAAATGTCCGGTCTGTCTGAAAAACTTTCTCACGAATTTCCGTCTGCTGTATGTATCAAAGTCTGGTTGACGGTTTCGTCGCTCACGTGCTGAAAGAAAATGGGCAACAGCTGGCCGTGGATCATAATGAGCTGTTCCAACACCGTTTAGGGCAATAAGCAGTCTGGCTTTGATTGTGTCTTCAGTCATGTTTGTTCTTGAATCCTCAACAATGATGTTATGATGAGACACAATCCTCTCGGTTTGCATGGAATGTGGTGACATACTTCCAATAGCAGCTAGCACTTTTTGAACGGTGCCATCTGTAATAGGCAAGAGCTTTCTCAGACGTACTGATAGTTTACAACCAATGTTGCTTCCTTCTGGAAGATGCGGCACTTTTTCGATTTTGTCCCACTGTTCACAACATTCATCTGCAAAGCGACCCTCTTCCCCTGGAAAAAGCCTCTGGGTCATCCCTATTCCTTTTTCCACAAATTTCCCCAGGGTACTTGCACTCAACAATTCGCTCATACTCAACAAAATTTCTTCTTGCTCTGGGCGCAGACGCTCACTTAGAAAATTTTTCGCTGAAGATGTTATTTCAATGCGAATTGCAGATTCATTTCGTCTGTTAGTTGGCACCAAAGTGTTCTGCGTTTGTCTTGCTCTCTGTGTTTGGATGTTTTCCCATGGTAGTGTAGTTTTTGATTCACGCTTTCCTGGGTAGGGTGTGCCGCTCAACAAATCAAGTTTCCTTTGTGCCATGCTAGAACAAGTGAATATATCTGGAAGCAGAAGATCATCCGGTTGCATTTGCTTCTCTAAGCTTGTGAAAAACCTCGAATATATCACCCATTAGTGCTGTGAACCAAATCTGTATTTCGTTCCACGTATTCAGATATCTTGAAGCCTCACTCTTATCTTTGCGGTCTCCATTTCTTGTAATTTCTCCCCAAACCTGTTTAGATCCTTTGATATTCGTAAGAACAGCATCTATTAGTGAGAGGGAATGTTGAGCAAACCGTACGTCATGATGCCGTGGAAATTGTTTCATCTCAATAGCTGCTTTCTCCAGCATTTTCTTTTTTGAAGTTGATGTACGAAAATATGTAGCAACACCAATCAGTGATGATTTCCAAATCTTTAGCTCTGGGACAGAATTGATAATTGCCTCGGTTGCAAGATCTGAACGATGGGCACAGCACCAGAATGTAAAAATGTTCCTTTCCAACTGGTCACCGAGAAGCTTCCAAAGCCCGGCATTTCGCCCAGTTTTTGCAGCTTCACCATCCGTTGTTATTCCGACTAATTTATCTTCATTTGCCTCACATACCTTTAAAGCTTGATTCACAGTCTCGAGCAAGCCATGGGCCCCTATTTCTTCTGGACAGTGCATCACCATAAAAACTGTACGCCTGTCGCCATTTGTCATTGACATTGTACTACTGACAAACTTGTGATCTCTCATGTGCTTACTGACGCGGCCATCTATTTGAATGCTGTAGACTATGCATTTCAGAAACATTTTTTTTACTTTCTGCAGTTCAATGGCTTGAACTGAAGACAACATATCTCTGTAGCACATTGGATCCCTGTAGTGTAACTCAGCATTTGTTGGTTTGAACTCTGGTAGAACTGCATCTGGACCTTCATCTTCCATAAGGGATATGAGTCGAGTGGCTGCAAGCGTTGTTAAAGACCTTGCTGGCCATGAGTGAGCAGAAATAGTTTCACAAAGACAGTCATTGTATAAATCAAATGCCATGTTTACCAAAAATTTAACTACATTGGTGTTGGCTTTTTTTAAACCGTTCAACCATGGATGATTAGCACTTTTCTCTTCCCACATCAGCTCCAATTGCTTCTGATTTCTCGTTGCTTTGTGCATTTCTGAAAATACATGATCAATTATTAGTTTGAGTCGTTCTTCATCATCTGCTCTGACCCCATTTGCAATATCAATTTTTCCATTTCGCGAGTATTTCTTTGCCACGTCCAAATATTCTTTGCATAAATTGCAAACAACATGAAGACGTTTTTTCCCATTCTTCTTTGCTGTATAGCTTTGCAATTCTGGAAAACTTTCAATAATGAACTTTAGAGCCAGCTTGATCCCGTGGTAATAAAATACACTGGCTGTTTTTTGTGTTTGAACAGTGTGTGTTGATTGCTGCGGGTTGTTAATATCTTGGCTTTCAATTTCTTCCGCTTGAGGTGAATCTGGATGGCTGGAGGCTCCTATTTCTTTCTCTTCTGTACCTTTGTTGTCCGTTTTTAATTTTGATTCATAAAAATTTGTTAATTTTCTGCATTTTGAAGCAATTTCTTGAGCTTCTTTCTGCTTTCTTTTTAACGAGCGTTCAGATCTTGGCATGTTTGGAGATCAATGACGCAAGCAACTTTTCCCGCGGATTTCATTGCCTCGCCTTGGTGTAGTGCAAGAACGTCAAACAGAGATTGGTTGACAGCAATAAGACCAAAGAAATAACGAATAATTTGACACATATAACACGACAACGACACAACGAACAGTAATTGGAGATAAGTCAAATTGGTGTTTAAAACAATTTTCGACAAAAGGGCACTCGCTAATGGGGAATCATGGGCAAACTAGTGGGGAAATTTATGGGCCTGGTGGGGATTTTCCCCACTAGTTTGTATGTTAAAAGATCCCCTGGATCGCACAAAGACGTCAGGAAGAGCAAAGGTTAAATTTTTGAAAATAATTATTTCAAATGGTGGAAATTCCGAAAGGATATATGATCAGTTAGGCCAATTTCGATTCATTGCACAATATGAGCGTACGGGACAAGTAACCTAGTTTGTTTTTCTTAGAAATGAAGATCCAGATATTCTGTATGAAGAAGTTGAAGAAACAGCGACGCCACAGTTGCGAACAACAACAGAAGGCCCACCAAAGAAACGTTCAAGGAATTTTTGACCTTCTTTTTGACCAAAGAATAAATTATCAATGGTGCTGCAGCCTTCCTTCTTCTTTCTTCTTTCTTGGTATTCGTTTTCCAAATCCTCCACTTTTTCAATTTCACTCAACTCCTACTCAAAACAAACTTGCGCGCTATAACGTTCGTCACGTGAGCAATATTTTATGTTAATTGTCGGCTCCCTTATAGATGATGATGATGGAAATCTTTTTGAACAGCGATCAAAAGTTTTTTCCTCAAGATGAATTAAAATTCCTCAATATGGATTGAATTTCCACTCAACAAGCAAATACAAGCAATTTGAAGCGGTGACTAACACTATCACATTCTCTCGTTTTCCGCGATCACAGAAAAAATGTGAAGCAAATTGTACCTGAATGTGATAGACACAAAGTCTCATTGCTAGGCATACAATCTCATTATTAGGCATATCGTCTCATTTTGAACACTGCAACATTGGTCCTGAAGCGTCAGCCAGGGTATCTTTGAAAGAAGTTATAGCTATCATCACTGGATACATGTTGGATAGCTAACTTCTTTCGAATGCTTTAGAAAAGGGCCTCAAGTAGTAATGAACTCCATTTTAAGAATGAAATCAATGAAACGTAGGTATGCCTAAAAATAGTTAAAAGCTCTAAACGATTGCAAGAAATGACTGCAAGAAATACTCTGAAATGCATTTTAAGACAATATGAAGGACGTGGTCGCAAAAATTTCCTGATCGCTCTGCTCGCAGGGGGACATCGTCTTTCGGTTTTGATTCAAGGCCTTCAAAACCTAAGTACCCACAGTCACCCGAAAATTGAAGCGATGATTGACTAACGAGAACATCCTCTTTGATAAACAAAATCAATTGCATCAAAATGCCACACCCCCACTTTGAAATATCTTAGGCCACGCCCAATTTTGTCGGCAAATTGGTGACTGGCACTCCCCTAAGTGAAAGTGCTTAGCGACGGCCCTGGACTTTCCTTGTGAGTGTGGTGTGGGGCCTTTGTCAACATGCATGCTCTAATCTATCAGTTCCTAAAACCTCTGTTTTACTATTTTCTAATAAGAAAATTCTTACTTTTACTTCAATCTCATTTGAATAAGCATATGACCTTTTCATAAACCAAACAATTTTTACAGGATTTTAGAAATTTTTCTAAAAATAAAATAACTTAGCAAAAAGCATAAAGGTTTTTTAATGTGTGATTAGGCCCCCAGGAAATGCTACCACAAGATATCGCACACATGTGAAATTACAAAATTAACTTTAAAAAACAATGAATACAAAGAAACAACAGAGAAAAAAGAATAATTGGTCAAAATTGATGCCGGGAATGATATAAAAAGCATACATCAACCTCAAAGAAACATGAAACTCATGTTGACTAGTCTTGCTTCTCTGTAATATTAAAATACAGAAAACTTACTGTTCTGGAATCAAGGGTAGGTTGCTGGCAACTTAACTTTGAGCAACCACCATTCACACAGTTTGATTCACAACCAGCGCTCGAGCTGCATGACATCTTACAGTTCCTTGAATAGCAATACTGAGTGCATGTAGATGACGTATTTCTGCATGTTTGGAGGTCACAGACGTTTGAAGTGCAGTTTTGAACAATGGCAGCGGTTGAGTGTTGAATCAAGAGAATCAACACAGATGGGATTATGAGCATGGACTTCATCTTGGCAACTAAAAAATAATTACATATATCATAAATCAAACACTCAATAAAATAATGATCTGGATCTGGATAAAATATTTATCTAAGATTTTAGCTTAGCTGTCAGAAAATAAATAAAAATTTTGCTAAAGAAATAACATAGACATTGAGCCTCTCAGTGACAATGGTCATTTCTTGATTTGCAAAAAAAAATCTAGCACAAAACATTAGAGCTTATACAGCCATGCTTTTTGTCAATGTTTTAGTTTACAGGCTCCTTATCATAAAAAGCTATAAGAGCTAGAGGAAAATTATCATTTTTGTCCAAAAAACTCAAAAGAATGGTACACTGCAGAAGAGAAAAGCATTCCAATTCACAGAAAAATATTTCAAACTACTGTTTTCTAATTAAAGTAGGTATGCTCAAAGTAAAAAGATACATTGTTTAATAAAGAATATGTACATAAAAACCAATACTCAGCTGACTTCTAACTGAAATTTGGGGTGTTTGACTGTTTCATAAATTGCTGTTGAAACCTGAAGTTTTTTGTGTTCTTGAAGCACAGGGACGAATTTAAGCAACAATGATTGGGGGGTTAGACACTTATTTTGATGCCACGCCCTTCAGGTCAAATGGGGACTTTTCATGATCAGTATTTGTTTTCAAAGAAAAAAGTCTTAAGTCTGCAACGAAAACTACAAGCAAATTTTGAACTTTTTATCTCCAAGGGAATGTTATTCCAGCATTTTGCTCCAAAATGATGAACTCTGACCTAAGACCATATTGGAGGGTATTTTTCTGATTTAGAAAAATATCATTATTAGTTGCTTGACGTGTATGATATGAATGAGCAGATTCAGTTAATTCAAAGAAGGAATTAAAACAAGTGGGGGAAATTCTATTGACACAATCATAAACAAAACATAATAATTTCAGCTGAAAAATATCATGTAGCTTTAAAATCTTCAAGTCAGAAAAGATTGGAGTGGAAGAAAAAGAGAGGTTTTGAAATGAAATTGCCTTTACAACCCTTTTCTGTAATAAGAACACAGGATTAATATAAGTCTCATAGGTAAGGCCCCAATCTAATATGCCACACTGCAGGAAAAGTGAAAATAAAGAATTATAAAGACAAATCAAAACGTTAATTGGTAAGAAGTGTCTAATTTTGAAGAACATACCACAAGTTCTAGCTAGTTTTTTTTAAAGTTCTGTTAAGTGATATTTCCATGAGAGATTTTTACCCAAAAGAACACCAAGAAATTTGACATAACAGGTCTTTCTGATTGGAAGGTTGCCAATTTTGATACTAACAGTGACAGGCCAAAAATGCTGAGGTGGCTTAAAAATAGCAAAATCAGTTTTATCTAATATTCAGAGCAAGTTTATTTACATCAAGCCACACTTTCACTTTTTTCAATTCTTTGTTTACCACTTTTTGAAGCAGGTCAAGACTTTCAGATTCATAGTAAATATTATAATATCATCTGCAAATAAGTAAAAGAGTAATTTTGAACTTGAGTGTGGGAGATCATTAATGTAAATTAGGCCCAAGCACAGAGCCCTGTGGTACCCCACAGGTAATATTACATAAACTTGAGTTAGATCTATTCACAGACACAAACTGCTTTCTACCTAACAGTTATGATTTAGACCAATCAAGACAAATTCCTCTGATTCCATAATGTTCAAGTTTCATTAAAAGAAATTTAATGGTTAACAGTGTCAAATGCCTTTTACAAATCTAGGAAAATCCCACAACCAAATTTCCTATTATCTAATGAGTTCTTGATGGCTTCTGTTAGACTAACTAGGGCATGACTAATAGAATGGTTGGCACGAAATCTGAATTGCAAGGAATATAAAAGATCATATTTGAAAAGGAAATTATAGAGATGCTCATACATCACCTTTTCTATAATTTTACTAAAGACAGAGAGAAGTGAAATCGGTCTATAGTTTGATGCTGTAAGGGGACAACCTTTTTATTTTGGCTAGCTTCATCTTGTCTGGAAATATCCCAGAGTGGAATGATTCATTTATAATTTGTGATAATGGAGAAGATATCAAAGGAGAAAGGAGCTTAAATATTTTTGTAGGAATACTGTTAGGGCCCAAAGACTTTCCAAATTTTAAGAGAGTAATTATGTCAGATATTTCAACAGGAAGAGAAGGTGCAATGAAGAAAGAGTTTTGAGCTCTACTACCCATGAAATTCATGGGTGACTTGTTAGATCTTGGGATATTTTTAGTGATATCATGAGAAACTGTAACAAAGTACTTATAAAGATGTCAGCAATAATGACAGGATCTTATCTCTTATGCCCATCATTTTTTGTATTCTGCTACTGATCCATGGTTTGTTCCTAAATTTAATATCTCTATTTGACAATTTCTTTAGGGGAGCATGATTTTTAACCAATTCATCAAGGCTAGATAAAAATCTATTGAATTTAGTATTTATATCTGAATTATTGTTATTCAGGTAGCTCTGATCAAGATTTTCAAAATCAGTTAGTAGATTTTCTTCACTGGGTTTGGAAAAATCATGTTTAAAATATGACAAGTTCTTATTGGATAAACCTACTTGCTTTATAATCAAAAATTGTGGGAAATGATCTGTTATTTGTGTCATGATGTTACCACTTATAGTTTCATTGTCTGTGAATAATATTGTCAATAAGGGTTGAAGAAATCCAAGATGTCCTAGAGGCATAAATGATGTATGGAAGAATTTGTTTTGAGAAGAGGAAATTGACATAATTTGTAGTGGGGGTGTCAGAGTTATAATTCAGAAGGTTAATATAGAAGTCTCCAAGGATAAAAACTTGTTTGTTACACACAGTTGGATTGGACAGAATCTCCTGCAGATACTCGCTAAAAGTGTCAATAACTGAGCTTGGATGCCAGTAGGCACAACAAAATAAAAAAATTTTCCATTATTCTCAACTTCAACCCAAACTGACTCAAAATCAGTGCTATCCTTTTCTAGATCTGGTCTGGGAATTGGAATAAGTCCTGATTTCACATAAAGTGCAACACCACCATTTTGACTATGGGACTGTTGAGGAACAACATAGCTATAACCAGGAATTTCAACATTTGCTTTTAAAGGGTTTTCAAAAGAATTCCAAGTTTCAGACACACCAATAACATCAAAGCTAATTTTCAGACTTTAAATACGACAAGAGTTGAAATAAGTTCATCGTGAGTGAGAGAATGGCTTCTAATATTCATATGAAATAGAGAAAAATCTTTTTCTGAAGTATCAAGTGTCAATAAGTCCTGAAGAGTATGACAACTTGAGTTGATATTAGAAGGTAAATGTTCATCAAAATCATAGTCACTTAAATTTGGCAAATTTGTAAGACTAGAAGTAACTTTAAAGGATGGAACTGAATCCACAAATGATGGAAAGTCAAAGTCATACAGGTTTGAAAGTTCTTCATTTTTCCAGTTGACCAAAAGGAAACATGACCATTGTACATTTCAAACAAAACCATGGCATATAATCGGGTATCATTTATGAAAAATTATATGAAATACCTGAAACTTTATTCAAAAAATTAAACTAACAAGTAATTATTAACACAAACTTTTCTGTCAATCATTTCAGTTCATCTCTCAGGGAGCAACATTGAAAACAGCTTGAAGATCCTCATCATCAGAGCTCAGTTTCCTGTTTTCTGTAGAAGTTTCAGCTTTTTTCCTATGACCTTTGATTGATGAAGCATCATTCCTTTTGATGACTAGTTTATCCATGACAAAAAAGGTTGTCTTGCCTGCCTTTCTAGCTTCCAGGAGCTCAGGAATCTTGCTCCTTCTTTTTTCTAGGGTGCGCTTGGAGTAATCTGCCACGAACATAATTCCTCGAGGTTTTTTGTCTCGAGCGATTATAGGATGTGGCTCATTGGATTTTTTCATTCGGGAAGATGTACCAACTCCATCAGGCCTGTTATTTGAGCTCCTTGGAATACGATGAGCACGCCCAATGATGATATTTTCTTCAATCCCCAGTACATTCTTTTTTAGCAAGCCTTACCAAATCATTTTATGAGTAATTTTTTTAAAAGTAAGGGGTGCTCAGAAGGCACTACTCTGCTCCCCTTTTCTTCCAATTACGGTGCCAACTAGGTTTGATACAGAAAAGTTCAATTTCCATCCTCCTAGAAAAATCCTGTTTACGCCATATTAGTTGTTGATGATAATTCCAACAAATAAATATGAGACCACGCCCTTTTGTTGCGATTTGTAAAGAAGGTTTTTGAAGAGAGGATCCTAGTTTTTTGAATAAGAAACCAGCTTTAAGAAACAATTACTGGTCATCGTTGTACACTTGTAAGGCTTATTCTCGAAAAAAAATAAATAAAACGTTGTCATAAAGTGGCAAGAAAGTGTCTGGGATGCTCCGCTAGGCCCCAATGACCGGAAACCACACAACAAAACAAAAATAATTGAATACTGGCGCCGAAAATTTTTGTTGGACACTTGATAATATATAGTATTATATTTTAATAGACTTTACTCAATATTTTACCATTAACTAGAGGACATTTCCAGTCCTCAAGAAGAAAGCTATCTGAAATTTTGTACGATGCAGAAACATTTTAGTCGAGAGCTTTGGTCTGTGAAATGAATTACTGTAAGTAGTCTAGCTATTCAATGAATTAAGAACTTGAGCTTTATAAATCTAACTGCAAGATGCAAACAAGCAAATCAAGCAGCAAATGTGGTAAATAAAGAAATGTATTGTTACCTTTTAGTCTTGCACAAGGTAGAAAGCGCATCTATGTTTGATTGTTTACTCAGCGTCAGGCATCGGATATCGTCATTGTTTGCTGTTTATTGACAAATCGCACTTCAAATCTCGTTCACATGCCTTTCAGGAAGTTCTTCTTTCAAACTATTTCTACGTTTTGTAATATTTGTAATAGGGGTTTTCGCCAAATGAATGAATGTATCCACCCTATCGTTATCGTCGAGACTAAATGGTCCTTCCATCAATGACGAATGAAACAAATAGACACAAACGGTTGTCCCGTAACGTCGATTCGTTCTCTTAATGTCAGGCACAGTCAGGGGCGAAACTACTGCGGGGTATGGGGGGTGCTGCACCCCCCCAATCTTCAAAAAAGCATATTTTGTCGGGCAAATTTATGGAAATACCATCTAGAAATACGTTGTTGAGAAAAATCAATCAATAATTTTTTTCTAAATGTATGAAACTTTCATCATACATTCATAAGGAGTTATGCCCCAAAATTCTCTTAAGGTTTTAAACTTACGGTTCGAAAGTATTGCACCTTTCGCTAGAAAATGGTCATACAGACGCCAAAGTTTTTTAACTAAAAAAATTCGAATAACCGCAACAAGTAACAGAAAGTTTTAATCAGTTCAAGCGGGAAATAATATAAAATTTATCAAGAAATTGTAGTTAAGATATGAATTGCAAAAAACTTTCGAGTTTATTATATTTCTGAAAAATATCCATGATTACAAAAACACGAAAATTGAGCTTTGATGATAGGTGTACCTGTAAAATACATCCAATAAAAACTTTCCCTTGCTTGAGGGATTTTGTTATGGTGAATTTAGAGATACGTACTTTGTGCTTGGGTGTCTAAAAATGTTGAAATTGCTTCCGGAGCAACCGAAAATTGAAAATGAAACTCAGAAAATGCAACTGAAGCTCTTTTTTGTTGAAACATTGTAATCTGCGTAGCTGTTTCTAAATTCCGAAATTTCCAAGCTGTGTTTTGGTTCCACTTTGATAAAATTGAGACCCTACTTCAATCTCTTTTTGAATTGCTCTCTTAATAGCTAGGTGATTTAGAAAGTGAAGACTTTTTTTAGACCTTTTATAGAAAAGACAGGCCTTACAAATGCTTGCTTTTTGGAAACAAATGTTTATAGCCAACACCAGAAAAACTAGAGGCATATTTCTTGACTTTAAACAAACAGTTTGGGCCGATGATTTCAGCCCTTGAGGCGATGTGCTTTAAAAATGAAGTTCATGTATGACACGCCCTTTCATCAAGCATGCCACGCCCTTTCGTCGGGCATCTAAGCTTCATACCCCCCTAATGAAAATAGTGAAGTTTCGCCCCTGGGCACAGTCTTTGTCAAGCACTGCCCTCTCAAACATATCAAATAATCCACAATAATCGTCACGAGCAATGCCATAAATAACAATACCTATCCTATAAATCCATAGTTTATGCCGACAAGATCTTTTACAAGCATCTTGCCACATAAGTGAAACGTCGAGAACCTAAATATACAAAATATCAAAACTTAACCTAATCGCTCTTAACCGAATTCCATTTCCAACTTCAACTCCAACTCCAACTAACTCTAAATGTAACACGCCCAAAATATAACTAAACAAGAACTAACTGTAATGCTACATAGCTACGTAAATTAACATAGTGATAAAGAATACAAAATATATTACTCCCAAGATTAATTAGATAAATTGAATGATGATACTAAAAATTCCAAAAGAAATAGTTAATGAATCTAAAGGTGCAATTAGAAAACAAAAGGAATTATAAACAATCGAATGTGCAAATGGTGATAAAATTACTAAGGTTACAGGATGCAAAACAAACGAAATCCAAACTAGCACTATTACAGTTTTATGGACTACCCGTCAGGCTACATAACGTTAGGGTACCCATGGGCGGCGCCAAAGGGCTGGGGGCTTCAGCCTTCAGCCCCCCCCTACTTTTTTGCAAAAAGTTTTTTAAGAAAATAACAAGAATAAAAGAAAAAGAAATGGAAGAAAGGAAAAGTGCGATAAATCCTGTTATTGCTTGATTTTCAAGGAATAAGAGGTCTATGGGGCCTTATAAATTAATTAATTCCATTTTAAGACTGGAATTAATCAAACTTATTAAAAGCATGCCTTAAAAATAGCAAAATGTTTAAAATTATTGCGAGAAAATCACTGCAAGAAATATTCTGAAATATATTTTAAGCTTTTTTAAAGTGTGTCGTCGCAAAAGTTTTCAAAAGGGTTAGGGTTAGGGTTAGGGTTAGGGTTAGGGTTAGGGTTAGGGTTAGGGTAAGGGTAAGGCTAAGGGTTAGGGTTATGGTTAGGGTTGGGTTTACGGTTAGGGTTAGGTTCAGGGTAAACTAATTACGTCATAAGGTCGAGCAGTATGGAAACTAGACAGCTCCTCTTTGGGTTTCGTTTGAGTAAAGGCCTCGTTTGCATGTTGCCACAGCTGATTCTTAATCTCTTGACCAATTTGAATCAATTAAAAAAAACAAATTTGGAGGCTCTTGTTTTTATAAATTGTCCTTTTAAGAAAAGGCTCTATCAAAAACTGTCGCCCTGTCAACAAAATATTTCCATGATATTCAATTAAAAGAGGAGCAAAATGCTTGATAACGTTGTCGTCGATTATTTTTAAAGAAGGTAAACGAGATTTACTATCGTTTGAGCCAATGAGTCAATGAGTCGCAATGAGTCGCAATGAGTCGCTATGAGTCGCAATGAGTCGCAATGAGTCGCAATGAGTCGCAATGAGTCGCAATGAGTCGCAATGAGTCGCAATGAGTCGCTATGAGTTGCAATGAGTCGCTATGAGTGGCAATGAGTCGCTATGAGTCGCAATGTGTCGCTATGAGTCGCAATGAGTCGCAATGAGTCGCAATAAGTAGCTATGAGTCGCAATGTGTCGCTATGAGTCACTATGAGTCGCAATGAGTCGCTATGAGTTTCAATAAGTCGCAATGAGTCGCTATGAGTCGCTATGAGTTGCAATGAGTCGCTATGAGTTGCAATGAGTCGCAATGAGTCACAATGAGTCACAATGAGTCGCAATGAGTCGCAATGAGTCGCAATGAGTCGCAATGAGTCGCTATGAGTCGCAATGAGTCGTGAGTTGCAATGAGTCGCAATGAGTCGCAATGAGTCGCTAATGAGTCGAATGTGGTCCGCTATGGGGAGTCGTAATGAGTCGCAATGAGTCACAATGAGTCGCAAATGAGTCGCAATGAGTCGCAATGAGTCGCTTGAGTTTGCAATGAGCTCGATATGAGTGGCAATGAGTCGCTATGAGTCGCAATGTGTCGCTATGAGTCGCAATGAGTCGCAATGAGTCGCAATGAGTAGCTATGAGTCGCAATGTGTCGCTATGAGTCGCTATGAGTCGCAATGAGTCGCTATGAGTTTCAATGAGTCGCAGTGAGTCGCTATGAGTCGCTATGAGTTGCAATGAGTCGCTATGAGTTGCAATGAGTCGCAATGAGTCACAATGAGTCACAATGAGTCGCAATGAGTCGCAATGAGTCATGAGTCGCAATGAGTCACAATGAGTCGCAATGAGTCGCAATGAGTCGCAATGAGTCGCAATGAGTCGCTATGAGTCGCAATGTGTCGCTATGAGTCGTAATGAGTCGCAATGAGTCACAATGAGTCACAATGAGTCGCAATAAGTCGCTATGAGTCGCTATGAGTCGCAATGAGTCACAATGAGTCGCAATGAGTCGCAATGAGTCGCAATGAGTCGCTATGAGTCGCAATGAGTCGCAATGAGTCACAATGAGTCACAATGAGTCGCAATGAGTCGCAATGAGTCGCAATGAGTCGCAATGAGTTGCAATGAGTCGCTATGAGTCGCAATGTGTCGCAAATGTTGTCGCTATGAGTCGCAATGA